GTGGAGTCTCTCTGATTGGTTGATGCTGGAAATCTGTCGCTACGTCACACAGTGGAGTCTCTCTGATTGGTTGATGCTGGAAATCTGTCGCTACGTCACACAGTGGAGTCTCTCTGATTGGTTGATGCTGGAAATCTGTCGCTACGTCACACAGTGGAGTCTCTCTGATTGGTTGATGCTGGAAATCTGTCGCTACGTCACACAGTGGAGTCTCTCTGATTGGTTGATGCTGGAAATCTGTCGCTACGTCACACAGTGGAGTCTCTCTGATTGGTTGATGCTGGAAATCTGTCGCTACGTCACACAGTGGAGTCTCTCTGATTGGTTGATGCTGGAAATCTGTCGCTACGTCACACAGTGGAGTCTCTCTGATTGGTTGATGCTGGAAATCTGTCGCTACGTCACAGTGGAGTCTCTCTGATTGGTTGATGCTGGAAATCTGTCGCTACGTCACACAGTGGAGTCTCTCTGATTGGTTGACGCGGCGCGTCGAGCTGCAAAAGTTCAGATTTTCTAACTTCAGCGATTTGTGCCTCAGCGCGTCGAATGCTCAGATCGTTCAAATCGTTCAAATCGCGCTGCTCTAATCGCGCTTGAGGCGCCGCAGCACTTCCCCACTTTGCTTGAAGCGCGTCCACCATAGACTTTGCATGTAAACCTGCTGCTCCTGGTGCTGAAATCGCGTTCGGTGTGAACGCACCAATAGTGTTTTTCAACTTGAACAATCCTGCAGAAAAAAGTTTTTTTTAGAAACAACGATGGCTAGATTTTCTCATATGTTGTGCGTTTGAGAGTATTTTATGTACAGTAAAAAAACCACCTAAAATTGATAAGGAGAATTTACTGTGCAAGAGAATTTACACGTGTTTGAACACACATGAATGATTCAATGTATAAAACCTTAAAAAAAACTGGGGTTTTGTGTGCAAGGATGTAGAACAAATACTTGGCCTCTCTATGAATAGTGTGGCCCCTTACACTGAAAAATCCTAGATTTGCCACTGGGGTGAAAACAAAATGATGTGATTTTTTTTCAAGCAATTCTCGGGTTCAGATGGCCCCTGAAGACCTTTCTTCTTAGAGCTTATGAGCTTTACCTGTTGCATATAATCCTGAGGCCCTGCGATTGGCTGGGACTCAATTTTAGCCATTTAATTTAATAAAAAATATATTTTTTTATATTTTAAACTCTTAATTTCTCAGATAATAAATATGGATATGAATGTTAGTTATGAAGTGACTGATTGGGGGCCCATGTTGTGTCCATACATACACCTATTTCCGCCCCTGTTCGGCGGGACTGTGGGTGAGAGTGTGAGGAGAAAAGCCAAGAAAAGGGAGGCAGGACAGAACGCAGGAGAAGAGGAGGTCTGGCTGTAAACTCCGCCTCCGCTTCTCGGATCGCTCCTTCTACTTCACGGCGCCTCTCCACGCTGGAGGACAGAAAGAGAAAGAGAAAGAGAGGGAAGGAGACGCACAAAAAGAAGAAGGGCGCACAGTGGGGGGGGAAGATAAAGAAAGAGGCTGCAGCGGAAACGACCATGGCCATAAGCAGCTCGTGTCAGCGCGAGACGGTGTCCGAGCCCAGCGCACTTGCTCTTCATCATCTTCCTCTTCTTCTTCTTCTTCCGCCCGCCGCCCGGAGCTCACAGACGCACCGCAGCCAGACTCCCGATGAATGAGAGGGGCTGGACCGGGGCCGCGGACAAACATGAGGGTCCTCTTCACCCAAAACGCCGGTTTCGTCGCAGCTTTTTCGCCTCTTTTGTGACGTTAGCGGAGCGCAGGACGTTAGACGATGTGAAAGAAATACCTGAATATCAGCAGAGCAGCGAGGAGAGTCAATTATTTTAGGTTTCTCCTCCTTTATTTCAATGGGATAGAGCTCGGATAAATATCTATATAAATATATTTATTATAGCCAGTAGATTTGAATGGAAAATGTGTTCATATTTCGATATAATTCAGCTGTCAAAAACTGAACACTGAATATATTTTTATACAATAGTGGCACTATAATATACAGCGTTAGCATGCGTGAGGTTATTATGAACCCATTAATCATTATGCTGCATTAGTAATCCATTTTATAGTAACATGAACCGGCAAGAGGAGCCAATTAAACCATTCAGGACAATCAGTGAATAGTTTCCTCACGTGACGATGTTTGTAATTTATTTATTTATTATTACTATTGTTTAGGTTTATAAGTGATATAGTATCGGCTTGTTTAAGTAGGTAGTTTAATCATATTTAACAGTGTAGTGAGGATGGACACCGCTCGTTTGTCACCCCGCCGGGGGTCCACCCGGCTGGAGGTGCAGATGAGAGGCGCGGGCGGAGCAGCGGCGGCGACGAGCAAACCGGCCGGGGGCGTCCTCCCCGTTTCACCTCCACCTGCTGCCGACAGCTCACCCGAGGAGACCCCGGCGAACGGCAACAACACCGACGGCCGGAGGAACTCGGGCGTGAAGAAGCACCACCACAAGCACAACCTGAAGCACCGCTACGAGCTCCTGGAGACGCTCGGCAGAGGCACCTACGGCAAGGTGAAGAAGGCCATCGAGCGGCACTCCGGCAGAGAGGTGAGCCAATCCAGCTAATCTCAGTCAGGCTGCTTTTTTTAATTTTATTTTTAAGGAGGCCCAGATGCTTTGGTCTCTCTCAGATGGTGTGTTGCACTCAGCCCCCTCCAGTCCCCCAGCTGGGAATTCCCCCTATACAAAATAAAAAGGCCCATGGGGGGATGCACACGCCTTGTCCTGTGCAGGGCCGCACGACCGGATGCTGGAGTTCAAATCCGGCAAGTTGACAGAAAGATTCTACTCATAAGCATCATGACATCCTGCCACCCCCCCCCCCCAAAATGAGATAACCCAAGAAACAAGCTACTGTGTAAAAGTTATATGTTAACAATATTCAGCTGTAGGCCTACTGAGACTAAGTTTATGTTTATTTGTCACAATTCTGCAAGATGCTTTACCTGCAGAACACCTTGAAAAGCAGGTACAAAAACACAGGCTGTAGTTACAAACACTGATCACATTTTCTTTGTTTAATATGTGCAGAGCAAACAGACTGACACACGTTTGTTTTGACAGCAGTTGACTGTAAACACATGCTTCAGGGCTTTTAAAAGTGGGGTTCTGTGGAGAGCTTATGAACAGTCAGTATCTCACCTGTTGTAGATACCTCTTTTAACAGCCTCAGTTCGTAGGAATCGTTTACTTGTAACCGGGCAGGTGAGTTAACGACTAGTCTAAGCAGAGACCAGTTTGGAAAAGTTCATAGCATGCAAATACTGTTTTATAAATCGTTACATCGCAGATTTGCGTTATATAGTCGTATACATAGAATTGTTTTTATTATTTGAAGCTGCAGCACATCAGCTTCCTGCAGGAATGTCAGCAAATTTATGCCAGCATAAATTGAAAAAACAAAATTTACACAAATATAAATGTTCATACAGTAGCGATTGCATGGACCATTGTTAGTTAAGGCAACAGGAATTGGTCTTAGATGTGCTCAAGTAAAACTAGCCGTTAGCTTCTCAATTCAGTCGGAATTGAACTATAATTTTTCTTAACTGGGATTGTTCAAAGAGATATCTACAACAGGTAAGATATTAACTGTTAAGCGTTTCACAGAACCCTCTCCTGGGGTCTGTGTATTAATGGGTCAGCTGTCCACTCTGTTTCCAAGCTGTATGTGTCACAGTAAAGCTGATTTGGCTGCACATCTCCAACCTTTTCCATGTGCTTCAAAATGTGACCCCTGTATTTACTCTGGCAGGACATGTGGAACTTTCCAGGAAGCTCAGTACAGGTCAATAATGCCCTTCACTCCCCACCACTGGCATGTTTCACTTGTAAAATATTTAAACATTTTTAATCTTAAAACTAGGAAATGCTTTTACTTCCTGGACATTATTTTCATTTGTGCTCATGTCTTGTCATTAAGTGGATTTTGGAAACTTCCTTTGTCTTAAAATGCTAAATGGATTGGAACAGGCTTCACAATAACTTCCTTTTGACATCAGGGGTTTCAAACTCAGTTACATAAGGGGGGCAAAATTCAAAACTTGACCAAAGCCAAGGGTCAGTTTCTGTCAGTATTTTTTTGAAAAAAGTTACATAAGAAATTATTCTTATAGAAATACCTTTTTTTCCAAATTTATAGTTGTATAATGTAGCATTTAGAACATACACAACCTAATGATTAGAGAAAAAAGTCAGCTTCAGCATTCATTTCATCACCCTACTTTCTATAAACAATTTAATTTATTATTTCTTAGATAAACATTTTATCACAACCCAGCAAATCTGTTAAAGACTAAACTCTCACAAAAAATCCAATTATTTGACTTTAAAATAAGAAGAGAATGTGGAAAAATATAATTTTAGTACATTTTCTATTGCTCTTCCTACACCAAAATCAAAGATTATTAAAAATATAAAACTTAATTTTCTTGGCTTCATAGTTGGACAGTTATCATGAGAAGAATTTGACAAAAAGAGAAACCATACAATTATTTTACATTTAAAGTTTTTAACTTTTGGATTCAGATCAAATGTCAGCCAGGGCCAGATTTGGCCTGCGGGCCTTGAGTTGGACACGTGTGTTTTATATCTTCCACACAGCAGCAGTGTGTCCGCACTTCAAACAGTATCGGAGCATGACTGTATGAAGCCTCGTGGATTTGGAGCTTTGTTGTTAAAGTTTACTTGACCTCTGACCCAGAGGAAGTCCCTCGTGTCCCTGTGGCAAACACAGTTGGAAAAGACTCAGTTTCGATTTGCTGTTGCCCCCCCCCCCACCCCCCCAACTCATTTCTCAAACTCAATCTGGAGAACAGAGAGAAGAGAGGAGGGGGATTTAACTCTGTGTGTGACTGTGATGGAATTAACTGAAAGGCACTTGAGGAAGACTGATTAGATTTGGACTTATTTATTGTATCAGTGAAAGTAGAACGGAGGGCTTGTTTTAATCTGAGAAGCCATATGCTGCGAAGCTGAGTGAATCAGTGAAGTGATGATCATGAACTGATCCAAGAGAAAACGTGACAAGCTTTGTGTATGCCGAGAGAAACCGCCTGTAAACTTCTTAGAGACACAGAAAAACATGTGTGAGTTATTATGGGATGAATGGCTTCTAGATGTTGCTGCATTGTTGTGACAGCACCGACTGAAACGGACCCTGGGCACGTAAAAGGGGGACATTCACAGCAGGAAATGAAATAGGAGGGGAAGGTTAACAGCCCGTGTAAAGGAACTATGTCAAGGACAAGAGGAGGTGAGTGGTTAGCACGGGAACGTGGGTAAACCCATCACAATAACAAAAGATGGACCGCCTCAGCTGAAAAGGAAGCAGACGCGTATAAATGGGATTTTTAAAGCACCAGATCACGTCATTCTTGAGCAACGGCTTCAAGGAGGAGGTGCACAAAAAGGGAAAAACAGACATTCCTCGGTTATATGTGGTGACGCTGATGAGTTTTTATGATTCCTGGCTGTGTTTGAGTATAAAGTTCTCTGGAAAAGTGACTGGCCTTCTACTCCCACTTTCTCTCTCCTCTTTCTACTCTGAGTCAGACGTTCAGCCAACACAAGAGATGATGAGGAGCTTTAAACAACGCACGGAGGCTCTGTTTGTGATGAATACTTCATCTCTTTTAATAGGCGAAGAGAGAGCTCTGGAGAATGTCAGGCTCTACTGAAGCAAAGCTCTGACTTTCACTCCAAAACAAAGTCTTTTGAGAACAACAGTGAGAGAGAGGGTGGATGCTCAGTACAGTAACTGTTAGAGGCATGGGCAGCAGTGCAGTGCCTGCTTACTGAGACTGATGATAATTGGGATCCACTTAGGGGTGATTCAATATTATATGTATACAGTACAATATTATCATGCCCAAAAAAGACTCTGCGAGCAGCAAAGGATGCTGGGTAGCCTTGTGGCAATTATGTGTGAAATATGTTGATGAGTGCGGAAATGGGTTGTCCTTGTTAATGTTCTGTTCAGGTTTGTTTTGGCATTTATAGAGTAGGGGTGTAAGGAAATATCGATACACTGAAATATTGCGATATTTCATTTCCAGATACTGTATCGATATTCTAAAGCCCTGTATCGATTTTTTATTAAGGTTTAAAATGTCAACTTTCCTGCCAGCCGTTCATTTTTATGTTGTAGTTCAGCCTCTGACCACTAGTTGGCAGCAGTGAGCCAGCCATTTGGCTCCTCTACCTCTTGAGCGCCAGAGAGTAAGAGAGCATTAGCATTGTAAGTAAACATCCATGCTCCGAAAAGACCGACACCCTCTGCCTTCTAAGCTGAGGTAAGGTTACAAACAGTTACTTATTTAACAGAATGTCTGTATTTTAAGCCAAAATTAAGTGTCTTGTGCGCTCTTTTTTCCAACTGTAGTCAGCCGTCACATTACGCATATAGCGCATGCGTCCATCACCTCGAGCGAGCTCGGCACTCCCCCCGTGCCATAAAACTCTGACTGTGTCCAAAACGGCAGGACGGGTCCTCCCAAGGTCGAATTCGCCGGCCGCATATGTCATAGCGCCGCGACGAAGGACGTCCAAAACCGAAGACTCCTCCGATGCGGCCGACAAATACGTCCTTCCTTTGGCCCGAATCGAAGGACTGGTCTGATGGATCCTTCCCGGCCCAGCATATCCCATAATGCATTGCGGCCCGACCGGAGATTTTTTTATGCTAGTAATGGCGGACGAAGTGAGAGAAAAGAATACATTTTAAATAAAAATATGGTGATATAAAAATAAAAATAAAATAGCGGTTGTAATTCTAATACTTTTATCATTTGTATTGACATGTTTTTAAATATTATTTTTTCGTCATAAAAATGCGAAATAAACATGAACCTACAGCGGGTCAATTAGTTCTTCAAATTATACTTTTAAGTTAATTTTATAGTTTTGTGATATTAATAATGCTAATGTATTGATATTTTTCTAGTTTTGATTTAAGTTTGCTTGTTTTGCATCGTCACAGTTGCTAGGTGACATGACGTACGCCGGGGTAAGGAGGGGAGGCTAGACCGTCCAAATTCACAGACTCTTTTTTTCTGGTCTTCCCGGTCTACCAAGGACCCGGCCCGCCGAGACCGGGGAGTCTGGGTCCTCCGGAGGACCCGGCCTGTCGTTTTGGACACAGCCTCTGTCTGTTGCTCTCAATGTCCGGCTGATGATCGCATCAAAGTCCATGTACTTTATCCTGCTGTGTTCACTTCAAAAATGGTTTAACTCATTTAGCTTCTCAATTTCTTAACTGGTTATCTTCAGGACCTGCCCTGCTGTTCGACCCACAGTTATACAAATCAGGTTCTGGATGCAGGTCAGCTGATCCCAGAAACTCTGTGCAGCAGCTTCATATCATCTGTTTAATGAACTTTATGACAACATAAACGCTATTGTTAAGTGTTGGGTGACCATATTGTAAATTAATATTAAAAACGAAAAGCTGCAAAAAATATATTTTCAAACTATTTATTGGCAAATTTAGTCCAATAATTGAAAACATTGATGAAATATGAAACAAATAAAATAAAACACATACAAAGCAGAACACAGCTAAATGTATCAAAAGTATGTCTATGTAATATTAGAATTTTCTGAGACAATGAATTTTGTTTTGTTTTTTTCCCAGTAAGAGGTTTTTATTTAATAGAATTTTTGGACCAAAAATATCGCAATAAATCGCCTTGTTTACAGTATCGAAGTATATCGGGATATATCATATCGTGACCCCTCTGTCATGATATGTATTGTATCGCCAAATTCTTGCCAATACACAGCCCTATTATAGAGACATAGTCTCTGTTTTCCTCTCTTAGAGTTTGTTCCTGATATGTATAGTAGGGAAAGCACTTCCTGATAGCTAATGCGTGTACCTTTTTGGAAGGATGATGTCACATAAGAACAACTCTGTTGTGAAACTATTGTCATCACTGGAAAGCCTCTATAATGGAAAATTAATGGTTTTCATGTCTGAACAAAATATACATTATGTTGAAATAAGATTTTGTCTCTAAAAGGAGCAAGTCTTGTACGCTTGTGAAAATGAAATCTGTGAATAAATGTTCAACGGGAACTCCAACTATTTGTAACATTAGACATTATTTGCTGAACAACTCTAAAAATGATAAATACTATTGGCTGTTTATGCTGCGTTCCATTTATTCATATCCCCGGAATTGGTAAAGGGTAGTGACATCACTTTCCAACAAACCATATGAAACTGCATTCCACTTAGCTGACAGGTGATTGTATTGTTGCTGCTAACCTGGCTACAACACTGCTACAATATAAACAATGACAAAAAGAGAGCTCTACTGCGTACATCATGCAAATAAACATTGATTTTAATATGGACAGTATTGCACAGAAAACATACTACTTGTGCGAGTGATTAAACATGCACAAAAAGTTAAAGGTAATTAACAGTAAAAGTTACGTAGATAAATTTCTAAAGTTGCGAGTAGCCTCCATCTTGAAATCAAAACTGGGGGCAGTTTTATTTCTTCCACTATATGAGTGGAATATTACCACTGGAGGGGGTGTTCCAGTTTAAATCTACCAATGGGAACAGGGAAATTACCACTTCCAAGGACAACTGGAACGCAGCATTAGTTTTCAGGTAAAAAAAAACTTTCAAATGGATGTCGCCATGTTATTTACTAGGGGTGTAACAACACATCGATCTAAATCGATATATCGATTTGAATGGTTCATAATTCAGTTATTTTGAGGCAAAATGAAAATATCGATCTATGATATGCTCGATGTGAATCGTTATCATATGCCCATCCAACACTGTCATTATGCTAGATGGTCAAATGATATTGCATTATATCGATCGCAGACATGTGAGTTGAACTGAAATCATATCGTGACAGACTTGATGATATCAAAAAAATTTCGAATCGTCATCCAAATATATCGATGTAATATTGTATCGTGATAAAGCTGGTGATTTACACCCCTATTATTTACATCGTAAAGCATTCTGGGTAAATAATAACGCTTACCAGTCCAGCGAAAATGTGGATAGAGGACAACAGAGCTGCTACATGGAAGGCTCACCTCAACTTTAGCCTTTTAGCTTTCTTGTTAGCTCCTAAGCAAATGTACTGTATAGAAGGCAATATATGGCATTAGCTCTAGAGCTAATATGCTATATGCACACTCATGAGGATGCAGCCCCTGAATTGAGACACAGCTGTCTCAACTAGAGTCCATTATCATTCCCAGAATGCATTGCATCAGTAAGAAAGTGGTGACGTGCTTAAATGAAAAATATAATAAATATATAGAGTTTATTAAGTAATTAGGAGTTTTCACGTCACAAACAACAAATTTTAGTAGTATAAATAGCCTACCATATAATAAGGTCAACATGTTCAAGTAGTTGGAGACTCCTTTAAAGACAAGCACATCTGTGTATGCCACACTGGTAAGGGTTAATCTACAGTCCTGATTGATCATCCATATTAGGGTCCAGGCCATGGACATACGCACCAATGACACATAGCATTGGATAGGAGAGCTGTCTTGTTCAACATTAGCTTAGAATAACTGTTAAAATTTATTTACTACCCTAAAAGACCAAAGTATTTTGAATTTAAGGAGCAATTATATATCATTAGCAGTCTTGGCTTAGGCATAAATTTGTGAGTAATATAATAAGATAATTTATTAAACCCTATAAATTCAGGAACATATCTCGTATTCAGCCTCATTGCTTAATTAATTATTATTTACTATTATTACTTGTGTTTTGGGGATTAGTAAGAAAATCGTAGTAATTTTGATGAAGCAAAAGCATCAGTTGCATCAGTTAAGACACAAACAACATTTATCAGTTAAAAACAGCATGCCAATCCACAGGCTTGTTTGTTATAGCTTAATTTATTTAAATTCTGTGTAATCGAGGCTTGGTCTGGAAGGGAGCTATTCCGGATTTGGGTTATTTTTATTGATGCACATGGTAATTAGCTTGGCGCTTGCTACCGCCTGTGGTTTTTGCTACACGGGCTCCTCCAAAGGCAGCAGCTTAGCTAGAACAGGACAAAAGTTTAAACTAACAGAACTCAGAGCAAGCAGACTCCATGCAGACCTGATCAAAGTAAACTCAGGACTCGATCCAAAATATTTAGGCTACAATTAGAGTGATGGGCAAGCCTGTGCACTCTCAATTGGTTTATTTAGAGAAGGCCACTAACTTCTTATTTATGAAATGTACACGTTGGTGATTTAAATGTATCCAGTTGAGGCCAGTGGCACTGCAATAACAATGAAACATTGGCAAATCAAGGATTGTTTGTGTCTGTTAAATCTCTCATAACAAACCCATTTTAGCATGGCACATAGACCAAATGACTTTGTAGAACTCTGCTCATTCTCATGATTTCTGCATTAAACTCCCAGCAGGGCGACTTAACAGGCTCCTGTAAATTAGGACCATTAGCTGTTCATAATTAGAACGACTAAAAATAAGAAGCTGGAGAGTGATTATATGTCTTCTCTGGGAGCTTTTCGACTAGCAGCGAGACTATGCTGTTAATATTGAAAGTGTGTCTAATAGAGGGGCCCTCTTACTTCCTTAGTCTAATTTTCTTGAAGCTCATGGTTTTCTTTGGCTATGTGGTTGATTGTGGTGGTCTGTGACTCACTTCATCCACTACTTAGTTGTGGACTGAATTGTCTCAGCAGCTTTAAACAGATTTCCTTGAAATCCTGTGCAGGCATAGATTGTGTCTAGAGGGTGAAGCACAATGATTTTTTCCTGTATCCTGAAACTTTTACACTAAGTCCACCTTTAAATCCACAGTTGTGGTTCTGAGATAAATTAGCCCGTTAGACATCCATTTTCCACAGTTAATGACGTGCAGTTACATTTTGGATTGCTAAACCTGAAACGCTAGTAAGGCTAGAGTTTGTGTGCAATTCCACTAAGCACAGGCTACTAATTCCAGTAGGAAGGTGAACTATGTCTACCATTTAGAACACATCATGTAAGCTAATTAAGAAAGGTAAAAATGTTTGTTCTTGGACAAATTGCACTTCTCCTTCAAGAGACTTCTTCATTTCTAGCTAAATATTTTATGACACTCCACAAAAAAGCTCTGATTTTTGCAGCAGTTATGTTCTTAGAGTACCCACGAATCATGAAAGAATGTAAATATTGGATGTGGTCCAAGAAAGGCCATTTGGGTGGCATCTTAATGTGATAAGAAACAAACAACAAAACAAGAATGAAACAGTTAGGAACTACACGCCATGTGGTACTGTACAGTAAACTGTTAGCGTAGACGTAGCATGGACACAGTGCATGCTTATGCACTGTACTGTAAGTTTTTTTAATATGAAACTGAATTTATGTCAGTGTTTATGTTAAAAAAATAGTAAATTATAATATATCGTTCCTACTAATTTAGCTTGAAATCTCCCCAAAAAAAGTACAAGAACAAAAAAAATCTTCCTTCCTGTACGCTATTTAGTGTATTTCTGTTTTTTTGCTAAATTGCAGGGATTATTGCAAACTATTTGTAGTTAGCTTCCACAAACTGTGAAATTTAGCTTTGCAGGGCTTCTTTGTATAACATTTTACATGATTTAGCTTGAGCTAGCAGGACTTTAGATTGTCCAGAGTCCCCCTCAGGCTGGGCTGCCAGTTGCCCATCCCTGCTTTAGCATCTTAATGTTGCCATAAGTGGAGTTACCTGGTTAGTCTTCATGGAGTGAACACCAAGATGAGTGATTTTAAAACTAGCTAATCACCTTTAGCAAGTTTGATTAAGATTGTTGTTGATGTTGTGTTGTTAGTGTTTCATTTCAAGACAGACTGGGCAATCATTGCCTTAGTTGTAAGGCTAAGTAATATATCTAAATGTAGAAGCCAGGGCTCTATTATTCTCAAAAATGTAGACTCATTTTACCTTTAAAGCCCAAGACCCCTGACCTTTTTGACCCACGTGTTTTCACTGATACTAGTATTACATAGCGTGCAATATGCTGTGCAACAGTTGTGCAAAAGTTAAAGTTCACTGATAAGATAAAACATGTGACCACAATGTTCTATTTAAAAGTCTTGGGGGTAATTTTACTTTCAAAATCAAACAGGGATGTTTTATTTGTTTTAATAGAAAAATGATGGAGTTTGCAGAAAGCCACATTTCTTTAACTCATGAAAGCATTTCTGTTTCTGTTTCCAGGTAGCCATTAAATCAATTCGGAAGGAGAAGATCAAGGATGAGCAGGACATGGTGCACATTCGCAGAGAGATTGAGATTATGTCATCCCTCCGCCACCCACACATCATCTCTATTTATGAAGGTGAAAGACAGGCACATGTCTGCAAAACACAAATGTCTCTTGACAAAACTTGTTCAACCTGAACACACATTACCAAAAAATAAAAACTAATACTGTACATCCCAAATTCCTTCATCCTCTCCAGTTCATGTAGCCAAGCTGCAGGACTGTCTTAATATGACATGCATGTGTCTTCATAGGTTCTGGGCTGCAGCACTGGGATGTTATTCATCTTCTCTGTCTGGCTGCCTGGGCTAGTAAAAGTCTGGACAGCTTTGGCAGTGTGTGTCTGGCTTTCTCTGAATGTGTGAGTCTGCATGTGTGTGTGTGATGGTCTTCGGGTTCAAAAGAGGGGTGATATTCTAAGAGATTGCCTTTCCCACATCTAAGAGGTCTCATCCCTTGTCTTCTCTGGACTTGATCTTAGGGCCAGACATCTGCTGATACTTAGAGACAACTGCAGCTGGGAACCAGACTCAACTTGTGCATGTGTGCGTTTGTAGTTCTAGTATACTTATGTCTTGTGCTTTATGTGTTTGTGTGCGTGTGTGCATAGCTTGGGAATCACTAGACTGACTTCAGTGGCCCAGGCTTGCACCCCGTCTGACTCCAATCCAGTGCTATGCAGTGGGAGGAAAGGCTTTAAAACTTCCCTTGAGCAATGAGAACATAATTCTACCCCAGGAAGCAACTCTGCAAATATCAAAGCTTTCACTTCGGCTTCAGACAGCGCCAATATTTATTCATTGTGCTCTTCATTTTTTTGTTGAGCCCTTTTTGAATTACTTAAACTTAACAGGAAAAAAACAGATAAGAATTTATGGTGACTTTGAATATTAAACAATTCCCATTGAATTTTTGAAACTTTGCTGCAGTCAATCATATCTTACTGTACAGCCTAGCTCATGTGCAGGTTGTTAAGGTCACAAGGCCCATGTAGTGGGAGTTGGTTTTATGTGATTTGTGGCTTGTGACTTTTTGTATGCTGTGTCAACAAAGCCACAACCCAATGCCTTTTCAGCTGCCCTGGCACAATTACAGGTCGACTGCCACTGCCCAAACTTGAGCTACCCATTCTCCTTTGTTCAGTTTCGAAGTCCCCAGCTCTTTATCGCTAATGTGTAAAAATGTCATTTGTCATGGGAATTTGCCAGAACTTGGCTGGAGGGCTAAAGGCCAGCTAAATTTTATGAGTTCTGCAAGAAAATGAGTGAAACAACACCCAGCTTTAAAAACTACTCAAACAAGCTGATGTAGGGTTTCTGTTGGTCTCCTTTTTGCTTATAAGCAACCAACTCCACCAACAATCCCAACCAGACTCATTGCTCTTGCCTTTGGTATTTCTCCTCAAACCCAGCGTTTACTGTTGTGGCCTGGCCTCTACCCAGCCTTGCCTGGTAGAAATATATAGAAGGCCTACAAATCTGTGTATCCGGCAACACCCTCTCTTACAGCCACTGCTAACTGCCTTGTGTGAAGCAAAACTAAACCAGATGTGTGCGTGAAGATTGATTTATTTATTTTTTTCCACTCCCTTACATTTTGTATCTGTCAGCATGCTGTGTAGGGCATTTAGGAGCAAATTTAGCTGTTTTTTTTATAGGCACGTTTTTGCATGTCAGAAAACAAATGTTCAGTTTTATAGGTTGTCGTAAATGCTCAAACTGACACAGCAAAGTAAAACTTTTCTGTCATGACTGTCTGTGTGAAGACAAAAGGGGAAAGGAACAACTGAAATTTAGGTAAAACAATCCTTAGGATTATTGTGTATTGGCAAAATAAAGGTAGTCATGATTAATTGTGGCATTTAGCTGATGATGATTTATATGATGATCAATAGATGACATTTGCACTTGCATGGTTTTGACTCTAAATCAGTTACAATGTGTTTTAAAAGTAGATTTTACACATCATCAGTCTAACCTCTTAATTTTAACAGCCACGGCCTACATTATCTCTTTTCAGTGTAAGCTTGCTTGTAAGGGACAGATTGGTTGGGTACATCGTGGATTCTCAGCTGAGTAAACTGGTTTCCACCATTCACTGGACGAGAATTTGCTGTAACCAACGTTGCCTTGGTCTGCATTTTCTGGCTTTCCTCGTAGTCCAGTTTTTGGTGGTGTTTCAGGTAATTAAACAAATTTGTAGTGTTAGCATGTTAGCTTTAGCGTTAGTATATTAGCGTTAGCGCTGCACTAACTTCCACTATGCATACTTGGGTGTCACACACAAAAAAAAAAAACATCATCAGGCAGCACTAATCTTAGTAATTGCAAAACGCCAAATATTAATCGTGACAGTTTTTCTGACGATTAATTGCATGATACAATTTTGCCCAAACCTAACAGTCCTTCTGAAAAGTATTTTCTTTGTCCATAGCTTGTATGGAAATTGATATACTTCTATTTATTTTATAATTGTCAATCATCTTCAATTGATTTTTCAGAGCTTAAGTCTGACACCTGTCTAAATAGACAGTATTTATCAGTAAATTCAACAAAGTTTTGTGTGAGGATATCTGTAAAGCTAAGAGAGCGCCACCCTTTTTTTTATATTTTCTGCTCAGCTAAGCTAAATGTTGGCCTCTATGAAATCAGTAATGTTGACTTAGAATTTTGTTGGAAACTTTAACTGCTTCACTCAAAATCAATGTTGTTCAAATTGGGTGTAAAACTGTGCATCTTTAAAACATTATAATGTCAAATTAATAAGGGAAATGTTTTAAATAACAAAATTATTTAAAGAAAGTGCAGATTTAATGCTCCTTCACTGTTGTCTGCACCATTACTGCACTTTTTCTAACTTGCTTTTTTGTGGTATTCCATCATTGCAGGACAATAGGTGCTAATTTGTCAGATGTGAGTCTGCCACATGAACAAAGCTCAGTGAATGACACATACACTCATGGTGGCTGGTTCACCCAGCAGACCATCAAACACAGCTTATGTAAGCTAGGTAATTACTTTACCACCAGGGGTTAAAGGTGAATGGGAGAGCAAGCTGAGACTTGGCTGTCCAAGCACAAGTCCATCAAGGATCAGTGCATATATCACCCCAGGTCCCTGCTCTATCCACCAATCAGAGGACAGCACCTGCTCTGCCCCCAGGAATGCTTAGCTTACCCCCTTCTGCTGTTTCCCCGCCTGTGACTGTTTGCCAGACAGTCACAATCAGGGGGCATTACCATCACTCAGCAACTGTGTGTTTTTGTTGAGGATTATATCTTTTAAAAAGGGTCCTGGGAGAGGAGAAAAAAGGGGGGATGACTATGAAGGTGCTCACTCAAGAGTGCAGAAAGTAGAGGCCCTCACCCACGGTGACCCTGCTGTGTGGGAAAATCAACATGGGCGAGCTGATGTCATATCTTCAGTATTTCTTTGATCTTTGTTGTTTCTCCGTCTCTCTACCTATCACACGTTCTCTTATTGCGAAGTGAAAATTTTTAATCAGTAGATTAAAAAATGCATCTTTGAACAAGTCATAACTGATTCTGTCGAATGAAGTTGGAATCTCTTAAACATTTATGTTGAAACTTAATGATTGTTATTTTTGAATTGCTTTAATTTTGTTACCTTAGTCAGTGATTGAAATAGCAAGCATGGATGTGGAAAAAATGTTTGCTTTGCAGGTGCATCACTGCTGCAATACAGCTACAAATAAAATTCTGACTGCTTCAAAAAAAAAAAAAAAAAGAAACTGAGACAATGGTTCCTAAAATAGTTTGCAACGAGTCTTTGCAATATCAGGACAAAACACTGCTACATGTCCAAGGCATTTAGCGACATCATGCCCCCCTCCAGCACAGCTCCGCCCCCAGAGGGGTGTGCCCCACAGTTTGGGAACTACTGTTTATGGAGGTTTTGGAGCATAAAGAGTGAGTTTGATTGCGTTAACAGCCTCTCCCTGCAAAGTTGCAAAGCAGCCAGAGTCACACGAGGTGGAGTTGGAATGATGTAATGTGCTTCTCTGGTATTTACTCTACAAACCAAAGAAGGGGAATTTAACTGAAATGCTGTCTTTACTTTCTGACAGTGTTCTTTTTTTCATTTTTTAACATAAAACCTAAGCCTGGAATGGCATTAGAAGCTGTTTGTCCTTGCAGCTTTATATTTTCTGCAACTAAATATTAATGCACTCCAAATATTTTCTTATCACGTTCCAGTGTTTGAGAACAAGGACAAAATTGTGATTGTGATGGAGTACGCCAGCAAGGGTGAGCTGTATGACTACATCAGCGAGCGCCGACGCCTGAGCCAGCGGGAGACACGACACTTCTTTAGACAGATAGTATCTGCTGTGCACCACTGCCACAAGGTGAGAAACCCTCCCCGCAACACCCCCCCCCCACCTCTTTCCTTTTACACACACAAAGACTTTGTTTTATAAGCTTATTGTGACATAAACCATTCACTGCAAACAGCCAGCTATATAGCAAGATAAATCTGCAGAGCCTACCCAGCATGCTTTACTTGGCACACTGGTGTGAACGTGTCATCTGTTGGAGTTTAGTGAAGAGAGAACACAGGCCAGTTGAATTCAGCCTCATTACAGGACAGTACAGCAAACAGGCTCCGCATAATTTCTGTGCTTATAGGCTCTGATGGATATTCCAAGACACCCACACCCCCCATCCCCACCACACACCCCGGGCTTTTCCCAAGGGATTTAGCTCCAGCCACACCCATGTCAAACCAATGTTTCACACCTCAGTGACTCTCATGAAAGCCCATGAGGTCGCAGGACTTGTTTGGAGGGGCTCCCCTCCTGTCACACGCGTCCCAGCTGGAGATAGGGCTGACATCATTGTCCCTAGATAGGGGATAGTACCAGACAGCCACGAATGATGACTCATCACCACCAAGCGCAACCTCCCTGCCGGGTGGGGTGGTGTTAGTCACTCACACAACAAGCAAGCAATCTTTTTTTTTGTATCTACCAATTAGAGTCATGTGAATACGAGCTGCATGCCAGAAAATGGCCAAAGGGAGATGCCATGTAGATTGACATGGTTTGGGTGGGGTTAATGGGTGATGTAATTCTTTCTTTCTGTATGCCACATGTTAATTCTTATAAGTTTTCTTAAACCCAAACAATAACAGCAGAGCTGTTGTTTTAATACCATGTTTTATTCTAAGTGCTGTGAGAACATCATTTGCAGACTGTTAATCACAAGCTCATGTTTATGTGACATGTGAATCCATTTAAAAAGAAAATCACAGCAGATGTCAGTATAAAGGCCTTAGACGTCACAAGGCCAATTAAAGGCAAGTAGGCCTTGATTTCCCCAGGGAGTGACAAGCTGTCTTTCTTTGAGTAAATCATTTCACAAAACAATGGACAGTTTATGAATAATAAACTGATCGATGCATAATTAAATTTATTTTCTTCTTGCTGACTTTCAGAATGGTGTAGTGCACAGGGATCTGAAACTGGAAAATGTGCTACTGGATGAAAACTGTAATATCAAGGTGAGTCTGTCTCTTGGTCTGTGATGTCTTAGGGGCCCTCAGTAGCTCTCTGTGACATAGTTGAGTGAAGACAATTGTGTCATTTTGTCCGCAGAGCAGCTTCACCCACCCCTCTTCATAAGACTCGGGCCAAATTTTTTCTAACAGGCAAATGTGCCAAGTATTGTTTGATGGGTTTAGAAGTTGGTGAACGTGTTTTTCATGCGGAAAAGCGCTCAGAAAACAAGAGTGGCATTTTGCTTCAGCTACCCCTTTTCTAGAAGCCGGCTGTTATGCGTCCATACAACATGGATAGTTTTGAAGAGCAGTTGTCTGAAGCAGTCAAAACAAATGACTCTTCCAGACACTTATAGAGATAGTCAAATGGTCCAAGACTCATAGATGGAGATAGCACAGAGATTGAGCACAAAGAAATTTTACCTCATGAGGGATTAACAATTTCACGGCCTTTGTAAAATTTGTATGTTTGTGGGTTTTTTTGGTCCTTACAGATTGCTGACTTTGGGTTGTCCAACATCTACCAAAAGGACAAACTACTGCAAACATTCTGCGGCAGCCCTCTCTATGCATCACCGGAGATTGTCAATGGAAGACCATACCGTGGTCCAGAGGTGAAGCAAACCTAACAATGATTTTATATCAAAACCTTCACTAACCTTCCTTCAAAAACAGATTTTCTTATGAATCCCATACATTACATTATTAATATTATCTAACACATGATTATGGTCACCATGACTCTTCACAAAAGTGTGGATAGGCCTCAGTTTCAGCCTCTTTGATGAGATTAGTCCATAATCAGAGGGAGGTCTCTTTGCAACATCATAGTAGGTCTCTACAGACAGCATTGGCATCCCTCCCCAGTACTGCCTTCCTACGGTGTTTTGGTCCCTTTGAAGTGAGGAACTGAAGGGTAGTGTCTGCTCACTTTCTCTTAAACTGAATGGGATTAGAATTAGTCTCACAACCTTAAAAGACCAGTCAAAATTAGACTCTGACCAAATAGTTTTGGCTTGGGGAAAAAAAGAAAAGAAAAAAAAACAGTCTCCACAATGCCATTAAACTGGATCTTAACAAGTGTCTTGGTTGCAGGAAATGAGACGACTGACAGAAAACAGGTCTCCTTTTTAGATATTCAAATTTAGAGGTTCCCGTTAGACTTATTCACTTTAATTTACTGAAGGATGTGTTAAAGTGCAAGTGTTATCCATATTACTGACCCACAATTGGGGTGAGGCCACAAATTACAACAAACACTGGCAGCAAGAATAGAACACCAGAAAAGTATGTACCCTATCTCGCCCTTTTAGAATGGCATCAGATGAGTGAAGCATTCTTGATGCAGGTCCAGAGTCTTAAAGGAAATGCACCAACTCCTTAACTGCTCTTATCTGATTTCCCTTTCCTAGTCTGTTTCAGAGCTTTGGCTAGTCCCAGTCAGAATCACATTCCTTGGAACATCTATGTGTTTTTTGGTAATTTACAGTCAAAACACCTGTAGTCAAAGCCAATCATACACACACTTGTATTTTCAGGGGGTCATTAAATCATACCTCTGTCTCTATCTCTCTTCATTTCTCACCATAACCCTGTACTATTGGTGTCCCAATATTGATACCAGCATTTTTGTTCAAGCACTCGTACAAAATACCCTGATTCCTGGATTTGAGACCGATACCAGGAATTTTTTTCAAGTTCTTGTGCTCATACAAAATGCCACACTACCCAAAACCAGTACCGATACCGGTATCAATAACTCATTCAGTGTCTTTTACTTTACATTTCTAGTGAAAAGCTTGTCAGTCCTATGTTTAAGAAAGTTTTATAAGTTGATAGAATATTTTTAAATTTTGCAAAAGTATATACTGTATATTTGATCCAGTCAGAAGGGCTGTAAGCCTATGAGAAAGGAGAGCCACCTTATTCTAAATAAAATAAAAGTGTTTTTGAAATCCTTGTGTAATGTTTAAGTTTTAACTCAGTAAATACTCAGTATCTGTACCCTGTGCTCAAATTGCAGTACTCATACTCGGTTAAAGAAAGACAAGACACCCCTACCTTGTATCTTTTCATGCCACATATACAGCAGGTCTTATGTAACTTTTTAGACGGTCACATTGCATTAGGTTGGTTTTCAGAAGGTCTCTCCTTCTGCTTGACAGAGCAGGAGGTAGCAAGGGCAACTTAACTGCACGGAAACTAGATGTTTCCCACAATCTAACCAAGATTGGCCATAATTCTCTTGGACAGAACTGTGTCAGAAGCTCTGAAAATGAGATACCTTTAAAAAATATTAGCTTGAAAAGTTGTTAGGATCACTTGTTATTGTGATGTAAACAAAGCACAGAGCTCTAATCTGATGTGCATTCACATTTTATTGCTGTGATTCACAAACAGAAACTGGGCTTTAAAGGCTGTGTTTAAGTTTTGTTACACACCTGCCTACATACAGCACACATAACGTTGAGAAGTCTGCTCTGATTAAATGAACCCATTTGTGACCAGGTTTTTGTTCTCACCAGGTGGACAGCTGGGCTCTTGGGGTGCTGCTGTACACTCTGGTCTATGGGACGATGCCATTTGATGGGGGAGACCACAAGAACCTCATTCGTCAGATTAGCAATGGCGAGTACAAAGAGCCCACTCAGTCCTCAGGTACCGTGGAAACCTCTGGCTCTTGTCATGCATGATGAAGCACATCTGATTCTCATGATTTTTATAGAATTATATAAACACTAGGCCTGTCACGATAACAAATTTTGCTGGGCGATTAATTGTCTCAAAATTTATTGCGATAAATGATAATATTGCCTGGTGACCGTTTTACAA